TCAAACTTGCTACAGATGCTGGATTTTAATCACATTTTTGTGACAAAGAACTAGTTTGAAGTTTTTATATAGGTCTATTCCAAAGTATCAGATCAAAATTGCATAAATTTTGAATGTACACTTTTTGTTGGGTTATTGTGTCTTTGCCTTACTTAAAGACAACATTTGTTGAGGTGAGCTCTGTAATCTCTGATTACCTATGTTTTTTTTTTTAAACATTTTTATTATTTATATACAAGAAACAAAAATCATTTTGTTTAAGTGAAGAGCTGTGTCTTAAAAAGGGTAGATATAAATCAAGAAATAGGAAAACAGTGTGGGTATCTACACATTTTCTCTAGAACCACTTGTTCAAAAAAGATGGAACTCGTGTGAAAGTTTCTTAATCTACTGCAGTTTTTACTTTTGATAATAAACAAAAACACAATTTGTGTTGGATGTGTCCCCTCTCAATTAAAAAAAAATGTGCCCACAAACCAACTTTTTGAAAGTGATGTTTGAATTGCTTTTTCTTCATGTTTTAAAATTAACATAAATACATAACTGAAATTTTCAGTATGTAATCATTAATTATGAAGTGCTTCAATTTACCTTTTTGTAGCAGGATTAAGAAATATAACTCTGGAATACTTATGGGGTTCTTGTCAATAGATTTATTGCATTCAAAATAAGCTGCAATAAGTTGCAGGAAAAATGAAATATTATGCAAATAAAAAAAAAAAATTATTTTTTTTAGGAATTACATGACAAGCCAAGAAGTGGTAGATTTTGTACGACAAAGATTAGTTAAGCCTGAATTCCAAGACAACCTCTCTAGAATATGTGAAGAGGTTAGTGTAATACAGCACAATTCTATCATTTGTTTTGAAGACATTGAATTTTTCATTTGAGAATTTTTGCAGTTTCTTGCATATTGCCAATATCTATTATCCAATGATTTATAATGTACTGTTTTAATACTCTTGTAGCTATTTGACTATTGCCTTGCACCCAACACGTACGGTGATGGCACAGGATGTGACAATATGACTTGCATCATAGTCAACTTCAAAGAAAATCTTAATAACAAGAGAAATTCCAGCACTCTTGATACCAGTATAGAAGGCCAGCCAGAAAAACGACCAAAACTGGATGTTGATGAAACCACCCAGGGGTTCACACCTAGTGAGCTTGGGGGATTTGAGACTGATAAATAAGGCAGAAGAAAACTTAGTCTATTTCATGTAGTTTTCATGTATCATATACATTGAAATTTTATATTATGTTTGTTTTTTATCACAGTCAATATTATTGCATCCATTTGTGAATTTCTCAAGAATAATAAATGTATCCAATTATTTGCAGTTTCTGTTCATTTTTTTTGCAGAGGTGTCACATACTGAAATGAAATTCAGCATATAGATTAATCATACTAAGATGTAGGTCAAGTTCTGATTTGGGTATGATCGAGCCATTTTTGACAGAGTTATGTCCCTTGGACTTAGAAATATTATTATTTGGGGGAGGGGGCATAAGTGTTTTACATAATTGATCCATTTTTGACAGAGTTATGTCCCTTGGACATAGAAAAATTCCAGAAATTTTTAGTTTCCGTTCATTTTCTTTGCAGAGGTTGCACATATTGAAATGAAATTTGGTAAACAGATTTACCATAAGATTGATTGATAGTATGCTGTTTAATGTCCCTCCTTAGAATTTTCACTGATATGAAGACGCCACCACTTGCCAGTGAAGAGCTACAAATTTTGTCCTATGCCCGGCACTCAGGACCAATGAACAGTGAGGGATCTTTTTCGTGCTAGCACCTACTGAGACACGGGACCTCAGTTTATATGATCTCATCTGAAGGACCAGTCTCCACGTCCTTCAGGATTTACCATAAGAATATCAAGGTCAAGTTCTGTTTTGGGTACGATCAAGCCATTTTGAATAAAATTTTGCTCTTCGGACTAAAAAAAAGTCCAGTTATTTGCAGTTTGCATTCATTTTCTTTGCATAGGTTGCACATATTGAAATGAAATTCAGTTATACAAAGAACAAGGTTCACTTTTGCCTTATTTGGCCCTTTGAATTTCTGAAAAACTGAAACTGCATAGTTTTAGTTAACAATGCATTAAATATCACTAATGGTGACTGCGTATCTATCAAAAATGACGTCATACTCTGGCTAGTCAATACATTATGACGTCACGAAATGCGTCAATTTCCTCATATTCTAAAAAAGTCTACAAAAACAGCCAATTTTTAAAGCTATTTTTTTATATTTAATATAGAGCACAACCTCTGATCTAAAATATGCAACTAGTGAATGATAGAACTGTTTCTGAGGATTAATGGACATGTTTTATTTTTTAGATCAGAGAGTGCGCTCATATTATTTTTCTTCATTGAAAGTACTCAATTATACCTGTTTACCTAAAAATTCAAGAACATTGTAATTTCATAGAGCCATTTCTCCTAGACCTGGACTTTTAGAAGAAAGTTTTTAATAGGATATGAAAGCACCAAGTCTCTATTTTAATTTAATGCTTCAAATAGAAAATCAATTGTTGATCAATTAATTGGTTTATCTACAGGGCCATTTTATGCATAAAGTGAACCGACTTCTTTATCATTAGAATATGTAGGTCAAGTTCTGTTTTTGGGTATGATCGAGCCATTTTTGACAGAGTTATGTCCTCTGGACTAAGAAAAAGTCCAATTATTTGGGGTGGGGGGCATAAGTGATTTACAAATATACATGTATCTTGTTGTTTAATAATAAATAAGTTCAAATATCCATTACCATTTTTTCTGTCAATAGAATAAACTTCAAGAAACACGGCATCTTCAATATTCTGCACCACTGAATATTTTAATGTGAAAAATCGATTTATCTTTTAAACTAGTAAGCACTGTCTTCAAAACCACCCCCAAGCAGTGGATTCTTCAATCATTGAAACCACATACATGTATCAAATTAAGCCTAACAAACTAAAGTTAGCATTATTAGATTATGGTCCTCTTTTGTTAGTGTTTCAAAAAATAAATTCTTTACATCTGAAATTAAAAGATTTTAACAGAGACATGTGAGATAACGGTTTAACCAGGTAATGAGGTATTATAATAAAGTATTTCGGTGATGTCACATGACTGTGTTGATCATGTGACGAACATTTATGATATTTTAAATGTTGCACAAAAATTGCTTCGGCACATGTGCAAAACAAAATTATTGTGCAAAGCTTGTTACATAGATCAATTCATCATGATCTCTGGTACATAAAAAGTGCTGGGGGCAGGTTTAATTTTTACTTCTTAGGAAAATATTTTACGATAAATTCAACTTACCAACACAAGAAGGGGTATTTTCCACTCTTTATCGCGATTTACTGTCTACCATATTGAAAATATTTCATTTTCCTAGTGTTGAATGTTATTTCAAATTCTGATTTTCTAAAAGTTATCATACTTAATTCTTATATGTAAATTCCAGTTTGCATAATGATTGAAGTCAAGAACGTGACTACTATTTTATCTTGTCTTTAGTAATTTTTTCAAGGACAATTTTTTTCTTTTTTCTGAAACTATACGTTGCCTCCATCTTTCACGCCATTTTTTGTAAACTAAACTTGTTAAAACAAATTCAAAATAATAAGAAATCAAAGTTAAGTCATAAGAACTAAGTCAAAACACATAAGAAATAAGTCAAAACACATAAGAAACTAGAGGTACTGTGAGCGATGAGCTCACTAAATGATACCCCCCGCCTCCATATATAGTTATAATGGCAAAGTCCATGTTTTGCTGTGGCCGTGAAACCCAAAATATGTATCAGATCAAAAAGTAAAATAGGAGGTGCACAATGGCAATATGTAATAAAGATTCTGTGAAAGTTTCATCAAATTTCATTCAGTGGTATGAGAGGAGTTGCGGATAAGAGATGGGTACCCCAAAGTGTAACAGACGGACGGACGGACGGACGGACGGAATTAACGATTACTATATACCCTCCCGCTTTTCAAGCGGGGGGTATAATAAGTCAATATCCCTCAATGGCGTCCGTAATTAACGGATAAAAATTCAGTCATCACATCAGTTTTGTACGTTTACTACTGTGTTTAACTACAAAACTACAATTAATCGTTCTCAATAGCTTACCTACGGAAGCCCTGGAGGGACATTGACTTACTTGTTATGACTTATTTGTTATAACTTTTTTGTTTTGACTTATTTGTTGTGAATGTTTCGTAGCTAGAGATAAGAAGGATATTGAAACCTGTTGCCAATGGCTTCCTTTTATAATGAAAATAATGTTTAGTCCTATTTTAACTGTGTTTTTTTATTGACGAATTGTAGTTTAACGTCCAGTACAGTTGTGATTTCTAAAGTAAATATTATTTTTGTTGATATAACTTAATTCTTATTTCCTAAACGTTATTACTTTTAAAATTCTTATATGTAACTTCCAGTTTGCATAATGACTGAAGACAAGAACATGACTACTGTTTTAACTGTTAATGACTACTGTCGATAGTAATAAATTCAAGGATATTTTTTTCTTCTTTTTTCTGAAACTATACGTGGCCACCAAATCTTTCACGCCACTTTTTGTGAAGTAAACTTGTCATAAAAAAATTAAAATAAACAAGAATTCAAAGTTAAGTCGTAAGAACTAGGTCAAAATACATAAAAACTAAGTCAAAACACATAAGAAATAAGTCAATATCCCTCAAGGGCGTCCGTAATTAACAGATAAAAATTTAAATAGTAATCATATCCGTTTTGTACGTTTAACTACAAAACTACAATTAATCTTTCTCAATATCTTATCTACATTCAGTTAGAACTAACAAAAAACAAGATGCCCAAGGGCCTTGAATCGCTCTTCTGATAAATTGTACAATCTATCACTTCTATTAGAAGCCTCCAACTCTATTAGTATCATAAGACCCAAAATGCATCAACTTACAAAGTTTGATAATATTTAGCCAGTTAAGACTGAAGATATTATAAAATATTATAAAATACCATAAGTAGGTCACCGTGACCTAACTTTTGATTGAAATTTTCTGACGACTCAAGATACATAAATTGACAAAGACTGATGATTCTAATTAAATAAGTACCTGAGATATTCAAAAGTAGGTCACCATGACCTACTTTTTGGTCAACATTCTCTGAAAACCCAAGATGCATCATCTGACAAAGTTTGACGATTCTAAGCCAATTAGTACCAGAGATAATTAAATATAGCCATCAAATGTCAAAAGTAGGTCACGGTGACCTACTTTTTGGTCGTCATTCTCTGAAAACCAAATATGCATCGACTCTCAAAGTTTGATGATTCTAAGCCAATAAATACCCGAGATACTTAAATATAGCCATAAAATGTCGAAATTAGGTCACCGTGACCTACATTTTGGTCGACATTTTTCAAAGACTCAAGATGCATCTACTGACCAAGTTTGATGATCGTAGGTCTGAAGGTAATCAAAATATGCATTTTAAACAATTTGAAAACAAATGTCGGCAAAATTCAAAAAGTAGGTCACAATGACCTACTTTTTCATAGATATGTTTTAAAGTCCCAAGATGCATCAAAGTACAAGATTTGATGATTCTAAACCTCACAGTGTCTGAAATAATAGGATTTAATGTTTTTAAAAGGATAAGTCATAAAGTTAAAAAAGTAGGTCACAGTGACCTACTTTTAAGTTGACATTGTTTGAGGACCCAAGATGCATCAACTGACAAAGTTTGATGATCACAGGCCTTAAAGTGTGCAAAATATGCCTTCAAATCAATTTGAAAACAAATCCCCGCAAAATTTGAAAAGTAGCTCACCGTGACCTACTTTTGAGTTAACATGATGTGAAGTCGTAAGATGCATCAAGTTACAAGATTTGATGATGCTAGTCCTTCTAGTAAGCAAAATATACACGTTTTTATTAATTGTAAATTTAGGTCAATTTTGAAGTGACCTTGAGACCACGCCCTTTGCCCCAGGGTAATTCCCCGTGCAAATTTTAATCTTCGACATATGCTGATCCTTGTATGTAAGTTTGGTGAAAATCTGCCAGGTGGTTATGGAGAAGAAGATTTTTTAGCAACCAGTACTTTTGGTTTTGTTTTTCTGATTATCTCCCCTTGTTTAAGGGTCTCAACCCTTATTTTAGTACAAATGGTAGCCCTTGGGCCAAGGATACCCTGTGACAAATTTGGTACTGATTGGCCAAGGGTTCTTGAGTTATGGCTCATATTCTAAAAAGTTTACGCACACCGCACACCGCACAAATGGCCATAAGCATTAGCTCTTTGAGCCTTTGGCTCAGAAGAGCTAAATAAGTCAAAAC